ATTAATACCAGCTTGAGTGGCAGAGCAGGAAATCGGCTGAAAATGAACAAAGAGCCACGCGGCAGGGATGCTAATGCAAGCAAATGCCAATTCACACTTCGGCAGGCGGCATGTGGCAGCTTCCTTTCCTGTTCAAACATTTTAGCCAGATAATGAGTGAAAAAACCAAACATTTTTCGCATAATCAACTGAGTTTGGAAGGGAGAAGCAATAGAGGAAGGGGAGCCACAGTGCTAATTATTTGCTGGCTGATACTGCTGTCAATGAAGCAGCACGGGACTGTGCGGGGGGGTGCGTTGCTAATTGCCGGCAGCGGCTGTAGCTCGTGTTGCTGCTCTTGGCCACTTGGCTGGTGGTGGAAGCTGTTGTTAATGCACAGGCAACCTGGTTGCTTGCTGAAACGGAAGCCAAGGCACATTTACCAACAGCTATTGGGGTAGGGAACCCCGTTAGCGAAATGGGGTTTCATATCAATATTGATTGGGGTTGCAATGGGGAAATGAAGCGCAGAAGGGCACTGGTGGCTGTCTGGTCCAGAGCAGTGTGTTTATGTGAAGCAGATGGTTGACTGCTGTACTTTGCCAGCAGATTATCGAGTTGGCTTCAAACTGTCTTGCGTGGTTTCCTAGGAATGCAGGGATCCCGTCTGCAGCAGAACGTTGCTGCCTTGAGCACATTACCTGAGGTCAGAGCTGGCAGCGATGCTCACGAACGCAGCTGCATGCTGAGGTGGTCCTCAAAGCCGCAATGTCCTGTGTGACCGAAGGCACACTGATGGTCCAGTGGCATCAAGAGGCTCCAGCCCTGTATGTCCCAGGGTATTTTGCAGGTGCCTTTTGCACACTTACCTCCAGTGCTGGAAAAGCAACCTCATGCTGGGTATCCTGAGCTGCTGTTTTGGGGTTCCTCTTCCGTTGTGCTGCTGTAATTCGGTGATGTGCTGCTGTATTTGGGAAAGAAATAAAGGGAGGTTGTACCTGCTGGGCTGAGTGGTGTGGGCAGGGAGTAGTTGGATCGGCATTGTCCTGCTGCTCCCTCGGGAAATGCTACCTTGCTTTCTACTCCCAAACCATTCCTGTTTTCTGACTCTGCAGTTCTGCAAGGCATGGGGCGACAGAGAGAGGGTAAGGCAGGATATTAGGAAAAATCTTCCGGAGAGAGAAATTAAGATGAACATGGCCAACAGTGGTAGAGGTTGAAAGCTCTGAATCTTTATCACTATCAACAGCTACTGAAGAAGAGATAGCATGGGGCTTTGCTTTTTTTGAAAAAAAAAAAAAAAAAATTGGATGCTGGAGCTAAACTGTCCCAAGTAAATGAAACTTCTTTCCAGAGTCATTAGCTCAGATTAACCTTGACCCTGGCGTCCCCACCACCTGTAGAACCTTTGCTATTAAAAATGCAAATTTCATTTTCAAGCCTTCTACTCTTAGAGTTGACGCCAGGCTGTATCAGCACCTATCTGAAATCAATGGCTTGCCTTGTTGCTTGCTGTAATTCTCTAGCCAAGTGCTGCTGCTTTCACTGTCAGCAGAGTAACGCTGCAAGATCTCCATGGTCAGGACAGTGCTGTTTTATCCTATCTGTTCTTCCCCTTATTTTTTGAAAGGCAGAGCTTCGTTACCCTGTTTCACAGAGATCCTGGATGCTTGGGTATCAAGGTTCAATGTGTTTTGGCAGCAATGGCTTGGCATAGGTTGGTGTTGTTCTAGTGCCAAGTGCTAGTTCTTGCTTCATTAGAAATCTTCAGTTTAGTGGTGATGGAAAAACATTCAAAGTAATGCAGGAGAAGAGTCCAGGGTCTGGATATCTACATTGTCCCTCTATGGGCTGCAAAATTTGGGCTGAAAAAATAAATGGTGGGGGTTTTTTTTACATTTTTCAGCTGAAACTTTTTATTCTTGAAAGTGCAGATTTGAGTCAGCCAAAACTTTTCACTGAGTTTTGTCAACTTGTGAAGTTACTTCAGCTGGGGCAACAAGAATTAAAACTAGGGTTTTTTTTTTCTTTTTTTTGCAAATGACTTTAGTTGGAACGTCATTTTGTTTGACTTTGAACAAAACTCCCCTCCTAGTGGTTAAGTGTAACCCACGTGTTTCAATTTACACCACCATTTTTCTGTTTGTGGGGAAAGTGGGCTGCCAGCAAACTGAACATTAGTTTTGATTTTGCTATATGCAGAACACTGTCTGGAACGGGGCTGAACAGAAGTCGTTGTTCCCTTTGTGCGCAGTGAGACAAAAACTTCTCTATAGGTTACTTAAGTTACTTATTATAGTTATAAGTTACTTATTTCCTGTGGACAGGAATAGATGGATAAGGTTTTCAGTAACCCATATTTATACTGTCATTCTATGTACAACTTCTAAACCTTCACAGCTATTGAAAAATTGGGAAGGGCAATCCAGGAATGTGGTCACTGAGAATGGGAGTTATTTGATACTACATGGTTACTGGAAACTATTGATTGAAAAAGTGCCAGCTTTTTAGGAAATACCATAAAAATAGACATTTTAGATGGACAGCAATGAAATCTGTAGAAGCACACTCCCTTCTGTGCAAATAACCTCTATGCCATATAGCAGTCTTCCAATAGGAGAATACAAAGATATTTAAATACTTTAAATTTCAACTTATGCTGGACTGGTGCATTTACAGTGCATAATAGCATTTTCTCTTTCCTGTGACTTTTTTTTTAAAAAAAAATCACTTAAGAGAAGGTGCTCTCTATATTGTACAGAAGCTGGAACAGCAGCAGGAAAATGTGACTTTGAAATAATGGGATCTATAAGAATAGGCAATTTCATTCAAGTATAGTGATTTAGTGCCCTGTTAGTGTCCTGATGTATAACTCCATTTCCAAAGACCGTAAGTTTCTTCACAAGCATAATGACGGGCTTAAAACTTGTGAGACTAATGCCACAGCTTTCTCTGTCCTCAGCTGTTCCACATAATTACAGGAGTAAGGGAATTTTGTTCTCTCCTACCAGATTAGCTCCAAGAGGAATAAATCAGATAATGTTATTGCCTTCTTGTTTCTTTCCCTCCCTCTCTAAAAAGCAAGATAACCCACATGGTGCAGTGCAAAGCCAGGGCTGGTAATGTTTTTTCTTGCCTGCAGTCTGTGATATGGATGTGATCCCAATTCCAGTGTCACCAGGACAAACTTTTTGAAGTGCTCTGGTTCTGTTGTTTGCTGCTTTTGGTACTGATTTCAGCTTCTGTGTTTGCTCTGCTTGCAGATGATGGCCCTTACTCGAAGGGGAGCAAGGACTCCGGTGGGATGGATGCAGCCCTGGTCTCCAGGAGGCAAAGCATCCCAGGTAAAGGAGGGGATCAGCTCCTGCTCCAAAACATCAGGGCATCCATTACACTTTACCTGGCTACCCCTAAAATAGGTAAAACCCCCCAAAACACCCATTTTGGTGCATCTATCAGCAAGGCTTTTGCTGGAGGGCAGAAATGGATGGTAGTAACTGGTCTCAGTGAGTGGTATGTTACTGGTGCAATCAGTCTGGTGTGGAGCTGTTGATGGTGGTTACAGGGAGCTGGGAAAGGACTGGTGCCTGCGCTGGGCTGATGCCCATGAAGAAGAAAACAGCAGCAAAGGAGAGAGGGAAGAAGCGCTGCCACATCTGAGCTCGCCAGGTGGGGAGGGAGACTGGCAGTGTCTGGCAAGCACTGTAATTTTCCACTTGTGACCAAGTTTGTTTTGATATTTAGTCAGTCAGAGGAGACTTGTGTGTGAGATAAACCTTCCCATGCAGAAACACCCCTGGGGGCTGAAGAGGGAGTGGAGAAATGGTAGTACATTTGCCGCTGTTGGTGCTGGGCTTTGTCTGCCAGTGTCGTGCCAGCGGGTTTGGATGGGCTGCTCTGGACAACTCATCCCCTTCCTGATAAAGCCCAGGGCTTGATTTTGACTTCTGAGCATTAATTACCCAGTCACAGGTTTGGTTTAGTGTGTTGTAGGGGATGGGGAGGAAACGGGGCCATTGCTTCATTATTTAGCAATTTTTCTAGGGGATATTCTGCATCCTCTGGGGCTGCTGCAACACGTTGCCACTGTACCACAGCCCTGATGGAGAGAGGCTGACTCCCTGCTCACAAAAGCCAGTCTGTCCAATGACCCCAGCTCAAGGCATCTCAATAGGGAGGGCAAAATTCAGGTGTGCTCTTCCTGCCCTGGGATGCTTTGAGCAGCAAAATCCAAGCGTATATGCCAATAGAAGAAATCCAAGATTATTCTCATATGACACTTAAAGACTATGTCCTGAAGGACCAGATCCTGCTTAAACAGCTCACTTTTACTGTGTGTGTCTGTGATAGCGGCAGTAGATTTACAGAGGCATTGGTCAAAATCCCTTATTGCTTACCTTGATAGATTGATCTCAGGGACTTGCCTTTTTTCGGAGCAGTGATTTCTCCTTGAACCCATAACAATGGGTAATTGCACTCTGGGAGTTCTCATTTTAAACACTTATCAAGGATCAAAATTAAACCCCATTGAAGAGCTAATAATCTCCCCTTGCGGCACCATCTGTGTTGATCAGTCATGTCTGTAGTTGAGAGGAAATTTGCAGGATAGTGCCGGATGGTGTTCCTTCCAGCACAGCAGGGAGCCCCCACAAAGTTTCTGGCAGCCCCTGGGATCCCGGCTTGGTGAATTGAAAACTAAGTTACTGTAGTTGGCAAGGCATCAAAACTGAGTTTAAAAAGCAGAAGCATTATGGACCTGACGTTTTAGAACGAGCTGCCAGTGCCACGTTAAATGGGTGCCCAGCAGTGCCTGAATGCCTTCCAGGCTGGCACTAGATTGCAAAGAGGTTCCCCACTTGCGTTAATCAAGTGCATGGATTATTCTTGGAAGTGCTTTACAAAACAGGTAGTGCATGGCAGGACTCAAAGTGAGGTGCAATTTCTGGTGTCATAGTGGTATTACAAAGAGCAAAGTGCTAGTGATGAGTCACCACAGTGCCAAATGACACCATGTTTTCTCCTAGTGAACGAGGATGGAGGGGGGAAGCTCTGCACCAGCATGGATCTTCTGTGTCAATATGTTATTTAAGACACCTTGCCTTGCTCTGGAAATCCTAGTGTGCAAGAGGTTTCAAATGTTCCTTCTCCAAATAGAGCATCTCATTTAAGCCCGATGGGGTTCGCTGTGCAAACAACCTCCTGGGCCATCTGCAGTGTGGGTTTTAGTCCACAGCTGTGGGACTGCTGTTTGCTGTGTGCTGCCAATGCCCATCACGACCTTCCCCTGCGCAGTCTTGGAGAAAGGTGTCCTGTGTGAGGGAGACCATTTTCCTCCTGTAAAACTGTGGGAGATTCAGTGCACCAGAGGTAGTGGAGGTGGATGGATCATGTTGCAGACAAATTCTGCAAAAGCTTCTTAGAGGAGGCTCTGGCAAGGCATGAAAGTCATCTGATTTGTCCTAGGGCTAATCCTCCTTTGAGCAAAGAGTGCGAGTGCCGTCACGTGGAGTAACATGGAGCTGTCTCTTGCCAAGTCTGCAGCAGAACTCTTGGTCTTTCCTCGGGCTGGTGCTGGCTCCCCTGCTAACTTACTCCCCTCCTCCATGTCAAATCCAGAAGTTGGAATAGTTGAGGGATCCTGTTTTTGTAAAACCCAGAGATGAGCTGTAATGAGATCAAAACTGGCATCAGATTGGGCTTATGTGTAGGTGCTGGACAAACAAGAGTGTCGTCTTGGCCTAAAGGAAGGTAAACTGTATGCTGCCTGCAGCAAACGGAGAAGCGGTACTGGTGCAGCTGGCATGGAATGTGCATCCCCTAAGACTGACCCTGCCATATATATTATGGCTTGTAGTGCATGTGGAACCAGTTATGTTTTTAAAAGTGACTTGTGTCTTCAATTCCAGCTGTAGATGAGGTGGGCAATGTGGAGGAAGTTTAACTCAGACCAGGTGCAGATGGATGGGAAAACTGCTGTGAATGAATGCTCATGCCCCCTGCCCCTTCCCCTGCTGGTGGCAGGATCCTACCCCCTCTCCATGTTATGTTCTTTACCTCCCAACTGTATTGATGTCTTGTGGTATTTTTTTAAGTCACAATATTTTAAGAGCCACCCTGTTCTGTCCATCCAGGCAGCTACTGCAGGTCCACAGCATCGTCCTACCTGGTAACTGTGACTGCCTGTCATGCAGCCCTCCTAACAACCACCCCGCTCCATATCAAACATAATTCCTGAGGTAGTGTCCCTAGACCACTGCCCAGATCTCATCACCCTGGTTTTGAGTTCTTCTGCTGCCCCCAGCACCAGCACCTTGAAACACAAAGTTTTTATCCTCTCAGAAGCCCTCCCTCTTCTGCCTTGTCCTGCTTGGTCTTGCCTGCAAGACATGAATGCAACGCTTTCCCTCCATTGCTGCAGGTCCACCAGGATACACTTCTGTTTCACAACTTCATTTTAAATAAACTAATTGTATAAATCATCCCAGGTCTGCTCTCCCACCACCTGTAGGAAAAGGGTGTCCTTGAGACTGGGAGGAATGCACCTTCCACTGAGATGTTTGCCTTTATTCCTGATCTTTCAGAGGAGTTCAGAGGGGTCACCATCGTGGAGCTGATTAAGAAGGAAGGAAGCACCCTTGGGTTAACCATTTCAGGTGGCACGGACAAAGATGGAAAGCCAAGAGTCTCCAATCTGAGGCCAGGAGGACTGGCTGCAAGGTGAGAAACCGAAGTGGGGTGCAGAGAGCACAGTAAAACTCGAGAGGAATAGTTGCATATTCTAGCTACTGAATGAATATGGTTATAATTAAAATAGTTGGCACCAGACTCCCTCTTTTCAAGTGCCCCAGAATGCAAAGTTGTTGCTTCAGTAGAATGTCTTCTATTTTGAGTTATTTCCCATGCTCTGTGCAATTATGCTCTGAAATTTTGTGTAGGGATATTTGGGATTCTGTGAAATTAGGCAGCCTTGTCAGGAGAGCTGCATGGTACAATACATCTTGATCAAGCTAAGTGGTTTAATATTGTATCTGTTCTGCATACTGAGTGTGTAAGTAACTTCATTGGCTCAGAAAAGGAATGGGAGGAAAAAAAAGGCTCCAAGAAACAGAGAAAGGGAAGGAGTAATTGAATAATTTTGCAAAAAACAGGCAAAAGGAAAGATGTTTTCTTTTTCCGTGCTGGATGTTTTTTTCAGACAGCTTCTCTTTGCTAGGCTTCTCTTTGACTGATTGCTTTACATGAATGGGAATTGAGCAACAAAAAGAGAGGTTGTGAACATGTATACTGCAATTGTTGCTGTGCGTACAGATCTGAACGCTTGCCACTGGGAAAGATAGATGGCTTTAGCGCTTCTCTCTGATAGCAGGCACATGCAATCAGACACCTACGATCAGCCCAACGTTGGTGGCTTGTTCAGGAAGTCCCCCAGTTACCGAAGGTTCACCAGGCACATCCAGGCTGAGCGTAGCAGAGACTTTGTGCTACCACTGCTTTTTTCTTTTCTTTATTCACAGAAGTGACCAGCTGAACGTTGGAGATTACATCAAATCAGTGAATGGCATTAACCTGACGAAACTGCGGCACGATGAGATCATAAGCCTGCTGAAAAATGTGGGCGAAAGGGTAGTGCTGGAAGTAGAGTATGAGCTTCCGCCAGCCGGTGGGTGCCTCTCTGATAACGCTACTCTCTTTTCTTGGCTGCTTTTTGTCCTGGGGTACACATGGGCTTGCTTGTGCATTAGCTGTCATGGCCAAGGCAGTATCCAGGGGCATTTTGATGTTCTGCCTTCATCTGCTCGCAGCGCCACGGTGGATGCTGCAGAGCTGTGTGCAGTCAGAGCAGAGTGCTTTTTCCAGCACAGTGGGTGCCTGTTCATGCACACCAGTGGGAGATGGCTGATTAGGTCTGTCTTGCCTCAGAGTGACTTGGTAGCAGAGGCCAATCTGCCTCCTGATGCTGTTTCAGCTTGTTTTTCTTTTTCCCTTTTGGAGTGTGGCTACAGGAGATTTTATTCAGTCTTAAGCATGTATTGCCAGATCCTCTTTTCTGAACTGCAGCAAGTGCTGTTTTTCCTCAAGATGCATTGAAATGTTACGTGTTTTCAGAAGGGAAGCTGAAGCAATCTGCTTTCCAGCTAAAGGGCCTCGACAGAAGCTGGCAAGCCCAACGCACATTAACAGGGCTTGTGTCCTGATGTGGGATACTATGTGGTCTTGCACTCATTTGTTCTGATTAAAACAAATTCCTTGATACAGTTTCTCATCACAGTCTTTCTGTTATGAAAATTATCTCCCCACTTATTACTCATTTAGTTACCCAGATCAATCAGAGGATGATTGGGCAGAAGAAATAGAACAACTGAAAATAAGACAACAGGACAAACAAAACCAATGAAATCTAAACATTTTGCCCCAGATAGGAAGCTATCTTACACTTTATAGCTTTCCTATAGCTACTGCATTTACATGAAAAGTATTGAAAATATAAATGACCATATAAAGCCCTAAGAAGAAAAAATATAATCTGAATTAGCTGAATCTCTATCTATCATCCCCCTCTCCTCTGCTGTAAATGTTTGTTAGCTTTTGCGTACAACCCTTGCCTACAAACTGTAGCTCAAGTTTTCCATGTTCTCATGCTCACTAGAGAGGACAACTCTTAACCTTTCTCCTTAGCTGTGAGCTTGGCTATCAGGAATCTGATAAGCTGTACTTACCAACTAAGGAGCAGTGCCAGTACCGCATGGCTCAATCAATAGCAGCAATGCAAAATGTCCCCACCTCTGAATGAGCAGGAAGAGCACACTGAAATAGTGACTTCTCTCCAGTAAGATTATCTATGCTGTTTATGACTAATCCAAACAGAGGCATGCAAAATACAGGGAATTGTCAATCATTGCCTTGCTCCAGTTCATTGTGGGCTTTTATCTGCGGTGAGAGTTTGTTATTGCTGTGTGCACACACCCCCCCACCCTTCCCCTGGGCAAAGAACAGAAATATAGTGCAATTCAATAGCTTGTGCTTGTGGGTTTGAATTTTTCTCCCCACTTTGTAAATTCCTGCTTTAGAACAGACCTTGCAAGTCCAAGTCTAGTTTTCAGGCCACTGTGTCATATCATCTCTTTCATAAATAAACCAAACCCTGCGTTAACACTAGCTTAGGTTTCCCTGCTCCCCACTGACCTTATGAAAGGCTGTTGCAGAACTTCATGCTTGGGTGCTTCGGACAGAAATTGGATGGTTTCTGAACTCATTTGTGGATGTTTTATACCCTCTTCTTGGTATGTGAGTATCACCCCTTAGCTGGGAGCCTTCCTGTGCCCTGAGCTTTTCCCTTCTAGCATATTTCTAGGCTGTGTCCCTGTTAGCAGTCAGTGCGCAGCAGCAGCAGGAGCAAAGTGGCTGTGTGGGGGACGGTGTTTTGGGGGTTTATTTGGCCTTGCTGTAGCCTTGTCCCCAGGGCTGTCTGCCTGCAAGGCAGTACCATGCCTCCACAGTACGTCTTTAGGGTTAGTTTAACCCTAATTTGTGTGCAGGTTGCAAGCCCTCTGGGTACTTGGCCGTGAGGACAGTGGGGAGATTTGCTTCAAAAACCCCCTCCTGAGCCAACACTGGCGCAGACATGCCTAGGGGACCCCTCAGCTCCAATTTGCCAGGTTGAAGTCAAGCTCTTAGTCTTTTTTCTGATTATCCTTGTGGCCATTCATTGCACTTGGTTTGAAGATTAGGAATTGATCTTTTCGGAGTGGACCAGGCTGAAATGCCATGTGCAGTTCTGGGTGGAGAAGACTGGGAAATTGTCCCGTATTCACTGCAGTAGTTCAATAAATCATTAAATAGCAGGGGATGGCAAAGGACGGAAACAGTTTCTTTCTTTTTCTCTTTACTTTTGTACATTAAATAGTACTGTGTATTTAACATAAAATTACTGAATTGCCCCTAGGATCAGTTTAAAGGATTCACTTAATCTTTTTTTTAAAGTCAAAATATGAGAGGTAAGGGAAAAAACCCCAACCTTTTGCACTGAGGATTTCGGATTTTCATTTTCTTTAAGGTCAGCCAGTGACTTGATTCCTTACGCTGCTGCTGGGTTTTTTTTAATAAGTTTCCATCTGTGGCAGAAGCTTCTGGCTTTTGAGTAATGCTGAATGCATTAAAGCCAGTTGATAAATGAGATGGTTTTACTTGAATGTCAGAGTATTAACCAAGACAAATTTGAGGGGAGATGCACAATACTGAGCTGGTGAAATCATCCTAAAACATGATGGTTGGCTCTGGTGAAGGTTCACGCATCCAGGTTGGGGTCTTTTTGCCTCCAAACAGGGAAGATACAAGATGTGTATTGGGCTGGACTTTCATTTCAATGCTGTTTGGATGAATTTTGGTATTATTTTGCAGGGTGGTGTGAAAAAGATTTATCTGGGGGTAACTGGGTCTTCCTCTCTTCCTTTAGTGCCAGAGAGCAGTGCTGGCATTATTCCCAAGACCATCGAGGTGTCCCTCTACAAGGAAGGCAACAGCTTTGGCTTCGTGCTGAGAGGTTAGTGCCTTCTCCAGTGAAAAACAAAGGGGGACAAGCACTGGCAGAGGTGATTTGGAAAGCAGGAAGAGACAAGTAAGAAGATGAATGTCATAAACCTCAGCTGAGAAGCGAAAACCTGTCCTGGAGAGCATCCCATGCAGCCTTCAAGGACTGCCAGCTGCCTAATCCAGGGCGGTCTTTCTCCTTTCAGGCTGCGTCAGCTGTTATGTGATAAATGTCTCTTCTTTTCTGAGCATTCTCATTCAGACTTTCAAACCTCCAGTGACTGACGGCTTTCCCGGTTTGATTACAGGGGGAGCCCATGAAGACTGGCACAAGTCCAGACCGCTGGTGCTCACCTACGTGAGGCCAGGTGGCCCAGCAGACAGGTAATGCTCATGTTGCACCTCCAACATTTGCTTTCACAAGACAGACTAGCAGGTCTCACCATGCTCTTGGACGTGTGTCCTTCTTGTCCTCCTTGCTGGTGCCTCCCCAAGGCTTCTCAGGCTGGTGGTGTGGAACAACACAGGTGGTGTGGGACCTGTGGGCTGCAGGGAGGATGGGTCCAGTGCTCATAGCCTGACCCACACGCGGATGTTGTAGTTACAAGCAGAAACTCCTTTTCCAGAGGCAGCCGCTTAATCAACCCTGTGCAGATGAAGAGCTGACGCTGTGTTAGAAAGCAGGAGGCAGTCTACCTATTCTCATGCTGCTAATTTAATATGATGGGCCTGGTACTATAAATAACCCAAACTATTGTCCCAAGCAGCATTCAATTCCTACAGGATCAAAGTAATTGACTTTTTAATATATGTATACACACACACACACACACGTGTATATATGTATACACACACAAAAAATAGATAAGTATATTAAATATATATACAAAATACAGATAGATACATAAATATATGGAGAAAATAGATCTAAATATAAATAAATACATATACACAAAAAACCTTTTTGCCTGTGGCTTCCTACAGGGAAGGGTCCTTGAAAATTGGGGACAGGCTGCTGAGCGTTGATGGGATCCCTCTGCACAGCATGACCCATGCTGACGCCCTCAACATCCTGCGGCAGTGCAGCCAGGAGGCACTCTTCCAGATCGAGTATGATGTGACCATCATGGGTAAGGCCAAGATAGTTGTGGTGGCATTTTCTCTGACTGCCTGGAAAGTATGTGAGACTTGACACAGTAACTGGGATACTCGGTTTCAGTGGAAAAATTGCTGAGCAATGTGCTGCCAACATGGGTGTAAGGGGTAGAGTTCAAAGCTGGCTTAGTTGAATGCATTTGAAATGCCCTTATCCAGTGATGTGTCTTGATGGGAACGATGACTGGTTTTAGAGGAGGTGGAAAAGGGGGATTTTCTAATGTAGGCAAAGAGGGCATAGGAGAAATTAGAGTTAAAGGGCGCTGGAGCACTCTGCCAGCACTGCAAATACCACTATTAAATGTGTGCAGGGGGGTGAGCTGCAGGCAGAGACTTGATGTGGCTGTGGCTTCGGTTCTGAATTTTGATCCTGCTTAATTCTGGAGCTATTCCCTTTCTTAGAAATGTTAGTTCAGATCTGGTTCTGAAATAAATGAGGGGTGATCAACTGATTGACCCCAAATAAGACAGCATTTACTGGAGGGCAGACGACGGGTATTTCTAAAAAGTGTTCTATGCAGTAGATATTGTTTGAGTGTTTGGAGGATTGGTGGTTTTTTTTTTTTTTATTTGATTTTCAGTTTCAAGCCCTGGGAAAGGGTTTATTATTAGCAACTGTAGAGTCATTTTGAGCTGGCTTCGTGACACACAGCTGTTACTCTAGGGAGCGTCGTTAATGAGTTTAAGGTTACCACAGAGTCCGAAGCTGTGTTGGTTCTGGAAGCTTGTTGAGCTGTGCATTAGATTTTGATGTTGCATATATGTCTGCAGAGGGGTTTTTGCCTCCACTGGAGCCACAAGCTGGACTAGGTTGGAGTCTTTTCTGCAAATCTCACAAACCAGTCCAGCATGTCTGAGCCTAGGGTCCAGCAAAGAATAGGAGTCCGTGATATCAGGTTGTTTTCTGATTTGTCACTGAGAAGGGAAATAAAAAGGATCTGCAGCCGAGAGTTTAATACCATGCCACCTCCAAGGAAAGAGAGCTGAGAACGCCAGAACTCACCCCATGTAATGTGCAAGAGGGTTGTACCAGTTTAAGGGAGCTCCTTGTGCCAGCCCTGAGGGCTTTCTGCTTCCTTTTGAGTCTCCTTCTCCCAGGCTTTCCCCTTCCTTTCAGCAGAAACTCCACAAGAGTGGACATACTGGGTCTCTCCTGGGGGAGGAGGCTGCCAGGACCTGGGCAGCTGTATGCCACACAGACACGTACTCCTCTGGGGGAGCTGGAAGGAAAACCTGATGCCTCGGCACTTGCCTGCACGCTGCCTGGCTTCTGCCATGTACCGGAGCAGCTTTTCTTTAGAAATTGGCTGGTATTCATGAAAAAGAGGAGATGCTTAAATGTTGGAAAACAGAAACTACCCAAATCCTGTTTTCTACCTTTCTATGTGATTGTAATTGTGATAACTCTGCAGCGGTCAGTAAAGGATGTCTGTTCCTCTCCTCGCAGGCTGGCTGGGCTGGCAGCCCTGCCCTGGGGGAGGGCAGGTGGAGTTAAGGAGGGATTTGCACAGAGCTGTCAAGTCTGAACAATTAATGGTGCCTGGGAAATAGGCTTTTTGGGGGTTTTGTTGTTTGTACAGTCCCTTGGTGCCTATGTTGCAGAATGTTGGTTGTTTTAAAACCTGACTTGGAGCAAAAATAGCCATGAAGGTGTCTTGGTATTTCTTCTTAAGTAACTCTCCCACCTAAAACTGTTAGGGTTGAGTGAACACAGAGCGATGGCAGGGTTTTATGAAATGATTCTCCATCTCATGTTACTGTACAGTGGACCATGGCCAGATACTTCCCAAGATGTAAAAACAACCCCTTTCGTAGGTAATTTCTGCACAGAGAGTGCTTCTCGCCAACCCTGTAAAGGGATATACTTGCCCTGCTTTCTTTTAAGGCAAGATGGTGCAGAACATGTACTTTAAAACAATCTCTGCAGACAGTTTTGCCAGGCAACAGCTAATAACTGCAACAGATGAGTGCATCATCCCCAAATCACAACTATTACAGACATTCTCTTTACCATCTACAGGAAGATGGTGAAGGAAGGGAAGAGCAGGTGCTGGAAGCAGTGTGAGGACATTATTAACCTGAAGGCAGCACTCCTAATTTCCATTTGAAAACTTGGTGAAGGGGCTGGAGGGACACGTGGCCACACAGTTCACTTGATTCATTCTAAGAGCTGGGGATGCCACCATGAAGAGGTGCTTGGCCTGTTCATCCCCAGGGAAAACAGAGTTTTTTGCATTGCGCTCACTCTCCACTGCAGCCGTACACACTGGGGTGGTGTGGGCAGACCCTCGAGGAGGGGAAGTTGCTGCTGCGGGGGAGTGTTGAATCACGGCATTCCCCAGCTGGCTGCGTGGTTTCCAAGCCAAAATTGTGCGCTGAGGATGAGCTGCATGGGGCCAGCCCTGCTCTTGATGTGAGGGACGCGGCAGCTGCTTGCCACCACCACCGAGCATCCCCTGGCTGTCGGGCTTTCACCGGGGAGGCCAGCGTAGGATGGGGCCGCAGCAGGCTTTTAATCAAATTGGCTGAGATTTCTCAAGGTCACCAAAGGAATTGAATTAATCTGCCATTTCCATTTAAAAGGAGTGTGAACTGGGCATGCACCTCCCTTGGGCATCAGGAAAGTCTCTGCCCTTTGCTGATGCCAGATAAACGTTGCAATGAACAGATGCTTCCCTGTAGCGATACTCTATCTTACGGGTCTTTTATAAAAGGGGGAAAAGAAATTAAAAAACCCTAACAAATAAACTGATCAGCCAGAAAACAGTGGGATTTGAATAGTTACTCTGTAAATAAGCTGTGTGTGCCATGACATGAGGCACTGGGCTGCGAGCCTTTAGGATTGACTCATGGAGGGGGGAAGCTCTCTGCCAGAGATGATGAATGAGCAAAGCAATTTGCTGTGTCCTTCTCCTCCTCTCCCTTCCCCTGGCTGCCCCTCCGCCCATTTGTTTTTAGGCTGGAGATTTTTAGGCCTGCGAGGCTCTCCTGCTGATGGAGTGGAGGCCTGGTAGTGTCCCACAAATGGGTGACCTCTTGGCCTCTGCTGAACGGTGGCAGGGGATAGGGCCTCAAATGGAGCCCGTGAAGTCAGAGTGATCGCGAGCCACTGGGCTGTGTCGGGAAGGAGGCAGCTCCCTGGTTTCGTTCTTCTAGGAGTTTTTGTTTTCTTTTGTTTGCATTTGCAAGGGGGTTGCCTCCTCCCTCCCCTCCCTCTCCTCCTCTTCCCTAAAGTGCATTACAGCAGGGAAAAAAATCTCTACTGGCACACCTCACTTATCCCCCAGGCAAGTGCTCAGAACACTTTCCAGCCTGGTTACAAGAGCATCCCTCCGTAGGGAGGTGAGCAAAGCCAGGTGGGGCTCAAGGAAAACTAGTGCAAGAAGGAAAAAACCCCACAGTATTTCCTCCAAAATAAGCTGTTGAGAGGAAGATCTTTAAGAAAACACCTGCCAGCCCCCAGCTTTGAGTGGTGGTGTAACCAGCTTTCCTGTACCTTTGACACTGGGGGGTCTGGCTGCCTGGAGCAGTCTCTGCTTTCCTTATATCCAATACAATATTGGTGAGTACCCCTCAAGTGTATGGGTATGAGCGGGTTTTGCATAGCCCTTTGTGTCCTCCTGGGGTCAGCCAGGTGGACAGGGCGATGGAATTTGCTGTAGTTGAGCAAGTTTTGGTAGGCTTTCCTCTTTCTGTTTTGGTGGCGAAGATTAGAGGGTTGATTAGATCTGTAGTCAGTCACCTGGTGGCTGCTGAATTTTCACTTGAACATTTTGAAATGGCTGGAATTTGGGTTTGGAATGAAAAATGCAGGCAGGATTTGGGGCCACATGTTATGTGGGCTTCCGGGACTGATTCAGGCCAGAACTGCTGATACTGAATGTTACAGGTTCCTATTTAGTCAATGCCACCTAAAAAGAGCAAATGTCTTCAAAAAGGTGGAGGGCATAAAGGTTTATTTGGTTACGAAAAATATTGGTTCTGAAGATGGGTGAAGATAGCGTATGTGCTTTCCCCCAGCAATGTCAGGAGATGTAACATCATTCATACAGCAACAGGGAACCGGAGAGGGATCCTCTTCTGGACCCTTTCTGACTATCCACTGAACAAATATGTATTTTGGACAAGTTGCATGACAGCTGTGCCTCAGTTTCCCAGTCTGTAAAATTGTACCATCCTCCTCTGGGAAGCACAATTCATTGCTTGCAAAACACTTTCAAACCCTTACGTGACAATCTGGATGCCAAGGCAGCATACACATATATAGTTTTTCTGTTCCTTGGTAACAAAACCCTAGAGAAACGATGCAAGCTGCTGTATCTGTATTAAACTGGGTGTCACTGGCCTCGATGATGCTTGTTCTGCAACAGTGTGATTTTTGGCCTTCAGTACATGCTGAGCAGCATCTGAGTTGATTATCTCGTGAATGCTGAGCCTCCAGAACAACTGCTTAGAGCCTCTTGGCTTGTGAGAAAGGATCTTTCTTTAAGTAAGGTGAGATTTGCTGTGAAACACAGTAGAGCTGTGGATACCTTTTCCACCGATGCTGGGTGAGGTTGCACCTGTGCGTGATGGTGCAAAAACACCTCATGGTGCCAAAGCAGCAATGCGAATTGACTCCCTACAGTAAGGTTATTGCATGGCCTGCCCTGGCCTCTCCGTGTTTCTTTTTAGATTAGCTTGGGTGTAATAGCCCCATGTTAATCACGCCTCACAAATATTGCTAAATTGCAGACTCCTGACCTTTGATTTGAGCCAA